GGACTTTTCCCAGAGTCTCAGCCCATGGGACATCAACCAAACCCCGGGGGGGGGGGATCACTGATCCTCCCAGGCTCTGCTTCCTGAGGATTGCCAGCACGGGGAGCAGCCAGGAACAGCATCGCTCCACAGGCATCCCAAGTCACCTCCAAGAAGAGCCTTCGCACGCAGCATTTACGGGCTCCTCGAAAGCTTGCCGTTCACCTTGCCTCACCCTCCAAAGCAGATGGTGCAGCATTAGCCAGACGGCCGGTGCTGGGAGCATCCTCTCCCCACACAGCCCTGCCTCTGCCTGCTGCACACTGCCAGGGAAGAGCTGCTTCCCGCAGCCCGGGCAGAGGCACGGCAAGGCGGTGGCTGGCCCAGGCTGGCAGGGATGCTGCAGCACTTTTTTCTTCCCCACAGGGCAGCACAGCTGCTGCCCCCAGCCTATTACACACTTCATCGATGCCACGGCCACGCGTCGGCACCGACCGATTTCACGCTCTGGGAGGTAGAGCAACAGCCCTGGCTTCGGGTCTCATTCACACTACGCTGGGCAGGGCAACCCTGCTGCTTCCAGACTCCAGGACCAAGCTCGACCCGCAAAGCCAGGCAGCGATGGGCAGCGCATCCCCAAAAGAGCCTGTGCTGCCCTGCTTTTTGGAGCTGGCTAGCAAAACAGCTCAGCATTGCCACGTCAAGCAGGGAAAGGCAGCCCCACGCCAGGCACACCACGGTACCATGGTAAAAGCGGTGGTGGGAGCGCTGCCCAGCTGCCTGGCACGTAACACCCGCCGGCCTGGCACAACACAGCCTGGCGTGCCCAGGGGGATGCTGGAGCATCAGCCAGGAGGTGGCTGGAGCTCCCTGCGGGCACAGGCTCCCCTCACACCATCCCCAGGAACACACTGCTCATGGGGAGCTTGCGCTCATGCCTCGAGTTTGTGAGGTCTCAGAGCAGCTGCTTGGGCGACACGCCAGCCTAGCCTCTAGTGACCATCTGCAGCACAGACCGGCAACGTGGTCTCCCCCATTTCTCTCCCTCTCCTCTTTGGGGAAGGACCCCACAAACAACAGTGAGACAGGGCTGACCACGTTGCAGACCCTACTTGACGCCACACAGCGCATTGCCGAATTCCTCCATCATCTGCATCCCCTCCCAGCAGGTGAGGACACCTATAGCGCGGCCCGGATGGCAAAGCCAGGGCTCCTGCCGCCTTCTCCCGCTGCGGGCAGAGACACCGTGGCCTCACGCGGGGAGCCTGGGGACGGGCGCGGATGCCGGGCTGCGGGGCTCACACGGAGCGTGCCAGTTCCCGGAAAAGTTTCGGTGCCACCCAGCGCCCTCCCAGCAGGCTGCCGCATTTCCTGGCAGGGAGCTGTATTTTTAGCCTCCGAGGTTTCTAATTCCACTCAATCCATACTCCCGTCGATAGAGCAGATAACCTTAAAGCCTTGACGGTGAACGGGGACGGCAGCACCGGGGGACCGGGAGCCTTGGGGGACCGCACGCAGCCTCGGCATGCAGCTTGCGCACCCGCAATGTCACTCTTTACAGCCTGCCGCAGATTGGGCTCTTTGGATGGGGGGAAAAAAAAAATATAATAACAAGACTAATAAAAAGGCAGGTACAAGGAGATTCTAAACAGCCCCGCTGGGGAACCTGCCGCTCGCAGGGCTCATCCCATGCCAGGCACGTGCTGTGGCACGTTCGCTGACTGCACAACGCTGGCACCCGGCAGCCCGGGTAAGAACTGTCAGAGGTTTTGGCTACCCTGGACCTCTCCTGCTCTGAGCAGAGCTCCAGCCCAGCCCGGCCAGCTCACACAGCAGGCGGCGGGGCCAGGGAGGGAGCAGGAGAGCTGGCAGGGAGAGGCAGAGCAAAGGCAAGAACAGAAAGCCGCCAGCATAAGGCAAAGCAAAGCGTTTCGAGGAGAAGAGAGCTGCGTCCCATCCGACGCCTGCCTGCAGCCCCGCAGGCTTTAAGACGTCCCCGTCCCCTGCTGCCAGGAGAAAGATGCTCTCCAGCAGCCAGAGCAAACGCCGGCTACGCAAGGAGGCAGCGAAGGCATCAAAGGCGCTTGGAAAAGAGAGATTTCAATCATGCCTTTCATTTGCGATGCTCTTAGGAGATACCTGGAACAAGAGAAGGGGAATGTTTCAGACAGGAGGGGGATTTGTAAGTCGATAGTGTCCCCTCGCAGCTGCAGCGGGAAAAAGGGACAACGAACCAGCAGAAGGAGTTAACAGCCAGAGGGCTAAGGGGAATACAAAGGACTTTACAAATATACCCAGGCAGAATCAGCACAAAAGTGAAAAGGTCTATTAATAAACAAGGAGGGAGAGAAAATTAATGACGGCTCAAAAATAAAGATGACTCAAAAGGGCAAAATTACTGTTTTTAACCAGAAAAATGCAAATGAAGCAGAGGCCTCGCAAAAACAGCTGCAGGGAAAGCAAAAACAGCATCTCCAAGGA